GACCGATTTTTTTTTCATTCCAGTACCTGAATCTCTGTGTTTTCTGATTTTTGACACTTTAGTTTCTGTTATTTTATTTTAGTTACTTAAGTTTCTGTTTTTTCTATTTATGTCATTTAAATTTCTATTTTAGCTGTTTTAGCCTTTAAAGTTTCTGTTTTTACCATTTTAATCATTTAAGTTCATGTTTTCAATATTTCTTATAGTGTTAAAGGATTTTCTCTAATTAATTAATTCGAAGCAAATTAATCATACTTTAATAAATGGATCATATTTTAACTTGATATTTGATTTAGGATTTGCACTATTACAACAACGTGTAAGTGAAACAGTGCCAATTTTGGGCGTTGTGGGAGTGCTAATCCTTCCCCACGTAAAATCGACTCCCGAACCCGTTTTAATCAAATCTTTGGTAAATGCAGACCAACTTTTGTCTTAAAAAATGATTTTTCTTAAAATTGTTTTTAAAAGACGATTTTAGGTATTCATCCTACCTAACCCAATGGTTGATGGCAACTCTATCCAATTTTTTCCAAATGAATCTAAAACCCCCAATTTTCCAAATTAAAAGTTGTAACTGTTTTTAAAACAATAAATAATTGTTCCACCCTAAAAATGGTTATGACAAATGGGTCTTCAAAATCAAGCGAAATGGTAAAGATCAAGTTTTAATCAAATCTTTGGTAAACGCAGACCAACTTTTGTCTGAAAAAACGATTTTTCTTAAAATTGTTTTTAAAAGACGATTTTAGGTATTCATCCTACCTAACCCAATGGTTGATGGCAACTCTATCCAATTTTTTCCAAATGAATCTAAAACCCCCAATTTTCCAAATTAAAAGTTGTAACTATTTTTAAAACAATAAATAATTGTTCCACCCTAAAAATGGTTATGACAAATGGGTCTTCAAAATCAAGCGAAATGGTAACGATCAAGTTGAGAGGTATCGTGCAAGACTGGTAGTCAAAAGATATGTGGTTCGACTAACAATAGATCGAATAGTCTTGGCAATGTGTGCTACATTAATCTTACATCTAGAGCAGCTAGATGTTAAAACAGTTTTTCTTCATGAAATCTTGAAGAAGATATTTATATGCTATAGCCTGGAGGTTTTGAAGAAGAAGAAAAGAAGAACTTGGTTTGTAGGTTGAATAAATCTCTGTACGGTTTAAAGCATACGCCGAGGTGTTGGTATAATAGATTTGATTCCTTCATTATGTGCCTTGGATACAACAGACTTAATGCAAATTCTTGTGCTTATTTCAAGAGGTTTGATGATAATGATTTTGTTATATTACTGTTATAAGTGGATGACATGTTGGTTGCAGGACCCAACAAAGATCATATTGAAGAATTGAAGGCACAATTGGCTAGGGAATTTGAAATGAAAGACTTGGGATCAGCAAACAAGATTCTAGGGATGCAAATTCACCGAGACAGAGGTAATAGGAAAATTTGGCTTTCACAAACGAATTACTTGAAGAAGATATTGTCACGATTCAACATGCAAGATTGTAAGCCAATTTCTTCATCTCTTTCTATTAACTTCAAATTATCCTCCAGTATGAGTCCTAGCAGTGAAGAAGATAGGATAGAGATCTCTCGAGTTTCGTATACACCGGCAGTGGGAAGTTTAATATTCGCTATGATATGCACAAGACCAGACATTGCACAAGCAGTGAAAGTGGTTAGTCGGTACATGGCGAATCCAAGCAAAGAGCATTGGAATACAGCAAAGAGGTACAAGGTAGAAAGAATGATGTGAATATATAATTGATCCAATCAAATCTTCAAATGGGAGATTGTTGAAAATTGGTTTGACTTAAAGCACCGAAAGTGCATGGCATCAATAGTCAAAAAAGGGCACCGAAAAGGGGTTGTATTTTGTTGAAACTTAAGAACTAATCTTATAAATACCTTAAAGTATAGGGACTAAATTTGAGATTTTACCATTACCAATTTTCAATAAAACAAAACCCCTTTTCGGTGCCCTTTTTTGACTATTGATGCCATGCACTTTCGGTGCATTCAGTATAACTAATTTTCAACAATCTCTCACTTAAAGATTTGATTGAAACAATCATATCTTCACATAATTCTTTCTACCTTGTACCTCTTTGTTGTATTCCAATGCTCTTTGCCTGGATTCGTCATGTACAAAAATTTAGTCCTTGTACTTTAGGGTATTTATAAAATTAGTCCTTAAGCTTCAATTATAAATACCCTAACACATTTAGCTTCAAAACCATCCCAAATCATTTTAGCTTTCTCCCAATAGTAGAGAATTTAGAGAGTTTTCTTGAGAGTTGTTTTCTCCTTTTTATCAAGAGAGAATTATTATTGTTTTCTCCTTGTTAGATCGAGAGAAGTTGTAATTCCTATTTTCTCATAGTGAAATTCTTCTACCGTTGCCCGTGGTTTTTACCCCATATTATTTAAGGGTTTTCCACATAAAACTTGCATCTTCTTTATCTTTATCTTTATTTTCTCAAATTATCAATTGCGATTTTGCTCTATCCGATTGCCGTCTTACGCTACAGAGGGGGCAGCAACTTCGGAGTTCAACTTCGACAAAATTTGGAGCTTGAAAGTCCCTCCAAAGGTATGATCTTTTCTTTTGATTCTCAAATTAGATCGAATCCCCACTAAAGAGTTTATGTTAAATGGAGGTGTGGTCATAGATGAGAATTCTAACGCTTGTGTATGGTGTGGTGGAGAGGTGCAAACTTCCAGTCATATTTTCATACGTTGTAGATTTGCAGCTTTCTTTTGGAAACTCATTTGTAATTGGTGGGGAATTTGTTGGATTAACCTCAGTAGTGTGGGCGAGCTTATAGGTTTCTACTTTCAAGTTAGATTGTCAGGGATTACAAAGTCGACTTGGTTAATTTGTAGCAGCAACCCTCTAGAGTTTGTGGTTAGCTCGAAATGAGAAGATCTTTCGGGGGAAAAATACGATATTTAAAGATCTTGTTTTCTTCTCAAAGATGTGAGCGCTAATATGGTGCAAAAGAGGAAGTTGTTTTGAATGATAAGAATTGGTGGGCAAGGTCATGCGATTGTTTTTCTGAAATAACGGCAGGGGTCAATTTGGATTGGCAACCTCCGACCAGTAATCATGTTAAATTCAATGTTGCTGGAGCTACGAAGGAAGGTGCGGCTGGTTGCGCTGGAGTACTTAGATCCTCGAAAGGGTTTATGCAAGCAATGTTCTCGGGTCCTACTCTTGATCAAGGCTCCATTTTGCGAAACTGATGGCTTTAACCCTCGAAGTGTTTGTTGAAGTGGATTGGATTAATAAAGTTGCTCTGATTGTAGAATCAGATTCACAGGTAATTTTAAATTGGATCTCCTCCCCTTCTTGCGTCCTTGGAAATGGTGCGATCTTTTCGAAGAAATTAAAAAACTGGTAAAGGCAATTCGAAATGTTCAATTCTCGTGTCCCAAGAGAAAGAACTTCGTGGCAGATTTTCTTGCAAAAGAATGAATTAAAAGGAGTGAAATGTTCAAAGCATGGTGGTGAGCTTCTTGGATAACTGTTTCGTGTTTTCTTCCCACCAGCTGGTCTTTAATTAGAGAGTTTCATTCTGTTTTTGCATTAGTTGGAAGTGTACTGTAATTGCTTTATTCTTAGCGCGGGTTTGTTTCGGTTAAGGGTTCTTTAGCTTCAGTTTTATTCTTGTTTTACCGGATTGAATATACTATTTTCTTCTATTTAGGTTTAGGAAATTTTTTAACGAGGCATTCAATTTGATTATGGCTTGTGATTATTAATAAAAATCATATTTTCTGAGCAAATATATATATATATACACACACGAAGTACTCATATGGGCATAAGACAAAAAATTAAAAGAGAATAATACAAACTTACTAAGCTTCAACTCCTTAACCATAGTTCTAATGACTTGGATGGTAACATACCTTTAGGTCTTTGCTCTAATTCCTTCCTATGATAATTACTCGTTACAGATACTTTCCTGCCAAGAACAATACCTGTAGACAGCAAGAAAGATAAGAGATTGAAGACATAATATTACTCGAAACTACCCAAGTATTTATACTCTTTTAAAAGAAAATATTTATATATTTATATTTGTGTCGTATTTATAACACCAACCTGTTATAATATGGTTTAGATTATATTCCATTATTGAACCTATCAAGCGAATTTAATGATGAAAAAAGAGTGTTTTTCATACAAATTTTATATTCAAAAAAATTACACCTACAGAGTGTGCACGTTGACAATAATAAAAAAAACTTTTAACATATATTGTATTATAATCAACTCGTCCAATTGGAAAATAATTATATTAGTCAAGTCGAGACATTTTTAGAACTTACATCTAAGATCATTTTTTATGATTATATTAGTTCATAATTGGTCTTCAAGTGAAAATGATTTGTTGTTAGGTATATACCACTCCATTAGAACCAAATCCAATCCAAAAGATATCTCCACAAGTCAAGGTCAGCGCCCTCATTTATTTCTTTTCATTTCATGGAAAATTCTAAATAATTTACAATCCAACTCAATTTTCTTTGCTGTTCATTTATTGGGTAAACTACTCAAATGACCAATTAACTATAAGGTTGATGTCTACATGAGTAACATACTTTTAATTTTAGCAATATGACCACCATACTTTTAATTTTAGCAATATGACCTCCATACTTTTAATTTTAACAATATGACCACATAACTATTTAAGTGGTTTCAATGTAACCATTTGTCTTTAAAAACAAATGGCATAGCTGATGTAACTGTTATTGACAACGCCGAGTCAGAGGTCCACACCAGCTAAACTGTTTGTTTTCAATGACAAGTGGCAACATTGAAACCACTTATATAGTCATGTGATCATATTGTCAATATTAAAAGAATGATGGTCATATCCACACGAACCCCATAGTTCAGTTGTCATTTGAGTAGTTTCCTCTCATTTATTTTATTAAATACATAACAAACATTTTCACTGGAATTGTATCACCAAGCATGGATGCCTTCTTCTTCCTTTCACCCATTTCCTTCTCCCTCTTCTCCCTCTGTATCTTTACAGTTTTCCAAGTGTGTTGCGCCAACCACGATATCCACTTTACTTCATGCGCTCCATTCGACTGTGGAACCATTAGGAATATTTCTTATCCTTTCTGGACCGACCATCTTCATCGACCTTCATATTGCGGCTATGGGGATGAAGGGTATAAGCTGGAGTGCATGGAGAATGAGCCCCCTGTTTTGACCCTCAGTTCCCAACGATTTCGAGTGCTTAATCTCAATGCGTCTTTCGGTTTGCTCACAATCCAACGAGTGGATTTAAACACTTGTCCTCGGGAGATACTGATAACCGATGCTTTTAATTACTCTTTTAGCGCTGAAAACATTACTCTGTTTTACGGCTGTAGACTCAGGGGTTTACAACCATTCAGTTGCACAAGGGACGGAAGAGAAGCGTCCCCTGTGTTCGTTGTTGATGAAAATGAATGTGATGGTAGTACTGAAAAAGTCGAAATTCCAGTTGGGAAACAGGCTTTTCATGATCTGATCAACGGAATCACCTCTGTGAATGAAAGTTTGCTTCAACCGTTTAACATGAGATACTTTGCATACGAAGAATACTGCAAACTATGCAAGGATTCCGGCGGAGGATGTGGATCCAACGAAACTGTATCCTCAGGAGGATTTGTCTGCTATTGTCGTGATCATCCACATATATTTCGTTGCGACCATCACGGTGTGCTTGCTTCTTTTTAACTCTTCCTCTTTTTTTCCAGTAAGTTGAACTATAAAACAAGTATCTAATTTTGTGTGACCATGTCAACATCTCATTGACCGAAAAATATTCTCCAACAATAGAAATAGTAAGACCTAAAGTGGTTACATATAATAGTTTAAGAACTTATTTTGATAAAAATAATTGAAGGGTTTAAAGTAAAAAAGAAGTATAGTTTAGAGACTTTTTCTTTACTTTTATTCTATATTTAATTTCTCAACCGGGATATCGGTCCACCCATGATTCTTAGTTCATATAAAAAGGAAAGAACTACAAACAACTAGTTTTTCTATCTCAGTCTCTATAATATTTATCATCGTAAACAATTACGTCACTCGATATACATCAATAAAAATAATTTTAAATACGAGACGAACAAAATATAAAATTTTATTTAAAATGACGCAAAAGGCATAAATTTCACAAAAATTCAAATGTTTTTAAGATAAATTTATATACATAAATATCTGACTCATATTTAATTATGATCAAAACATAATAGGAAGGAGCATAAACACACATCTTTTTTGTCTTTCTGTTCCTGTATGTTTTCTTAAGTTTACCTTTGTTAAACTCTGTCCCTATATGTTCTCGGTCATCTCCTTGCTTTACCATTGCATAGTTAGGTTGTAGATTTATTTCCAATTTTTTGTACAGTCGATCATGTTTCAACTTAATTATTTCAAATTTCAAAATCATCATTTATTCAACCGAATTTTTGTTATCTTTTCGATTCTCTAAAGTTTTATTCTGATTAATTTGAATCGATCCATGTTATATTATTGGTTTTGATAGGTGAAATTTTGAACAAAGACTTTCTACGAACGAAAAGTCTTGAACTCAAAACCTGCGTGTTAAAATAAACGCAAGTGTTCCGTTTTTGTTTCTTGGAAATTTATGGAAATGCTGTCCTTTTTCTTGGGAGGAATAGTCTCCTCCTTTACATTTCATTGACATACGTCTCTATGCTGTATACCTATCCTCCTCGAAACTTCAACAAAACAATAAGGCAGAGAAGTAAAAAATGTCCCTAACATTTTATTGAATATCATTTTGGTTTATCTTCTATTTTCTAATGATTTTAACTTTTTAATATTTCATTTTAAATATAACTAATTATTATGTAAATAAAAATTATTAGTCAACTAGCAATCAATTTAAACAAACTAAGTATTATGTAAATAAAAATTATTAATCAATTTAAACAAACTAAGTATTATGTAAATAAAAATTATTAATCAACTACCAATCAACATATGAAACTGATATAATACATCTCATTTAAAATTTTCTACACACAAAAAACCTCAAGCTTAAAACCTGGGTATTCGTGGAAATTTATGGAAATGCCCTTTCTCTTGGGGAGAATAGTCTCCTCCTTTACATTTCATTGACATACGTCTCTATGCCCTATACCTATTGTCTCTCGAAACTTCAACAAAACAATAAGGCATAGCAGTAAAATATATCCCTAACATTTTATTAAATATCATTTTAGTCTATATTCTATTTTTTAATAATTTTAATTTTTAATATTTTATTTTTTTAAAAAAATTATTATGTAAATAAAATTTATTAGTTAGCTAATGATTAACGTGTGAAACTAATATAATACATCCATATGATATGAAAAGTTGACGTAACATTTATATATATATATATAAAGGACAAAAATGATTAAACCTTAGGTGTGATTTGCAAGTTAATGAATTGATGTACTCTTTTACGACAGGAAGCGGTTCCAGTCTTTCACAAAAGCTTATTATAGGTACGACTGTTTATCCAAAGGCTTTCTTGTACCTTTCATTATTTGCTCCTGATTTTCTCTCGGGATTCTGCTTTATATGACAGGTTTTACTGCGGGAGCAATCAGTCTGTTAATTACCTGCATCATCACACTCTATTTCAGAAGAAATATCCGATACATTATTAGTAACTTCACAAAGAGTGATACTGATACAGATATAGAGGCTTTCATAAGGAACAATGGAACTTCATCTCCCAGAAGATACAGTTACTCAGATGTCAGGAAAATGACCAACTCATTTGAGGAACAACTAGGAAAAGGGGGTTATGGAAGTGTGTACAAAGGAAAGCTACTAAATGGCCATCTTGTTGCTGTGAAAGTTCTTAATACCACCAAAGGAGATGGTCAAGAATTCATCAATGAGGTTGCAAGTATCAGTCGAACTTCCCACGTTAACATTGTTACCCTTTTAGGGTTTTGTTTAGAGGGTCGGAAACGAGCTCTCATTTATGAGTTCATGCCTAATGGATCATTAGAAAGATTCATTTATAAAGAGGATAACACCATGAAAGACCGTCAGCACTTGTCATCAGAACAATTGTTCGAAATCGCAATCGGAATAGCCCGAGGGCTCGAATACTTGCACCGCGGCTGCAACACCCGGATTTTGCATTTCGACATAAAGCCTCATAACATTCTCTTAGATGAAAATCTTCGCCCGAAAATCGCCGATTTTGGGCTTGCAAAACTATGCACCACCAAGGAGAGCATCGTATCGATGTTGGAAGCTAGAGGCACAATTGGTTACATTGCTCCAGAAGTGTTTTGCCGAAGCGTCGGAGGCGTTTCGCATAAATCCGATGTGTACAGCTACGGAATGGTGATTCTGGAGATGGTTGGAGGAAGAAAGAACGTGGATGTTGGAGTAAGCCAAACCAGCGAGATATATTTTCCTCATTGGATCTATGGGTATGTTGTGCAAGACAATATGGAACCGCAATTGCTAGGTCTGGAGACTAAAGAAGAAACTGAGATTGCGAGGAAGATGATCTTAGTAGGATTGTGGTGCATACAAACGAATCCGTTGGAAAGGCCTCCGATGAGTAGGGTGATGGAGATGTTGGAAGGAAGCGTGCAAGTACTGCAAATTCCACCTAAGCCTTACCTGTCTTCTCCTTCAAGATCACCGGTGGATTCTACCTTCTTAACATTATCCTCACACATGCATCCTTAGAGTAATCTATATACATACTTTTATGTTGATGGAACAAAATTATTTTCCTTTTTATTAAAACTTAAATAGTTTAATGTATGTTCAGCTCATTAAACGGTTCCGGGATAGTTGTGCTTTTGAAACCAAATGTTTATAAATGTTTTTCTTAGTTATAAATGTTTACATGTTTTCTTTTCGTTTTTCTTAGTTATTGATTACAACAATTATTGATAATTTATCTTTTTGAGTTTGAGCGGATTAATGTAGCCGATCAGAGATCGGTTGTTGATTGGTATCAAAATTCTCTGTCTCCATAAGAAGGTAGAGCATAGAAGAATATAGGTGAGGTGATTTCATAGAGGTCACATCTTATATCTCGATTATGTGCAAAAAATTATATAGAGATTCGTTAGTATGTGTATCAGTTATATGGTTATAATGGTTACATATAAACTCACATGTTAAGTAGATACGATCATGTGACGATAGATTTGACTCTGATAGGTCATATGAGACTATGGGAGATCATATCAACTAGTCGTTGCTTCCCGAGAAATATTAGACATTCAAGATCATTCTCTTGAAATTGTTCTTTCTATGTCTTTCGAAATTCTCTCGATATTGGAGAGTTCGAAGTATTTTATATCCTAAAAAATTTTAATTTATTTTATCATTTTATAGACTATATTATATTATTTGTTAATTATACGATATTATATTATATTATATTATATTATATTATATTATATTATATTATATTATATTATATTATATTATATTATATTATATTATATTATATTATTTTCTAGGTGTCGATATTGGAGAGTCGGAAGTATTGCAAATTCCACCTAAGCCTTACCTGTCTTCTCCTTCAAGATCACCGATGAATTCTACCTTCTTAACATTATCCTCACGCATGCATCCTTAGAGTAATCTATATACTTACTTTTATGTTGGTGGAACGAAATTGTTTTTCTTTTGGGTAAAGTACACAAATGGTCCCCTGACGATAATATATTAATTTGTTGAGTCTCTCGACTATTAAAAATTATAAAATGGTCCCTCAATTATAAAAATTATGGTCACCTGACTAGTCATTATGTTTCAAACTAGTCATTTTCCGTTAAAAAATTAACGGCGGTTTGAGTTGGATGTTAACTTGTTGACTGAGATATGGTAAAATATGATCATAATCTCAAACGAATATAATATCTTAGTCAGCATGTTAGCGTCCTTCTCAGATGACCGTTAATTTTTTAACGGAAAAGGACGAGCTGAGAACATAATGAATAGTCGGGTGACTATTTTGTAACTTTTAATAATTGAGAGATTCAATAAAGTAGTATCATATAGTCAGAGGACCATTTGTATACTTTACCCTTTCCTTTTATTAAAACCTAAACAGTTTAATGAATGTTCCGATCATGAGACCGGGATAATTATGCTTTTGAAACCAAATGTTTATGCTTTTTCTTTCTTAGTTATAAATCTTTATATGCTTTTTAGTTATTATTGATGACATCAAAAGGATAATTGACGGTATATCTTTTTTAATTTAAAGAATAATTAGTTGAAAATTGGTTATTTGGTGGATCACTTAGTCGGTCAAAAAATGGCCATTGGTCGGTATTGAAGTGCTTTATCTCCATAAGTAGGTAGAGCAAAGAAGAGAGTATAGGTGAGGTGATTTCATAGAAGTCACATCTCATCTCTCGATCATACTCAAAATGTTATATAGAAATTTATTAGTACATATGTCAATGGTCTATAATGGCTATATGTAGGCTCACATGTTAAGTGAATATGGTCATGTGACTATATATCTGACTCCAATAGATCATATAAAATTATAAGAAATTATATTTGACTAATTGCAACTTCCTGAAAAATATTAAATATTCAAAAAATTTCTCTTGGAAATGTTTTTTTTTTGTCTTCTGGAATTCTCTATATACTAGAGTCTGAAGTATTTTAGATCTTAAATTTTTTTTAATTTATTATATCATTTTTATAGACGATATTATATTATTTGTTAATTATATTATTATGTCAGAGTCATATTTATTTATTTATCTATTTCATTTTATGTAAATCTATTTAAGCTTAATTTATTTTAACTTCAAGTTACTTTCGTATCTAGATTTTTTTTTAATTTCGTATCTAGATAATTTTGAATTATTTAAATTCATGATAAATTTGATTAAAACAAATTTAATTTCAAATTAAACTTTTGGATATGAGTCGCTACTAAAAATAGTTTGCAGATATACGTTATTGTTTATTTTTTATATATAATTATCAATATTCGATCTATTAATTGACTAATTATGATTTGATACTATAGAAGTGAGGGCGTTCAACCCAATTTGCTCCATTTATAAACGCCGGGATTCGAATATATGACCTTAATTAAGGAATTTAGTGTCTTATCCCATTAGATCATTTAGTTGTCGTTGATAATTTTATTTATTTTTAATTATTCAAAAAATGAAATATTAATTTTTAAGTAAAATTAAAATTGCAAACCCTGTTTATTAACTTATCCTGTAATGCATAGTTCTTACTAAATTGCATCATTTTAGATGTGGAAATAGTTTTTGTTTTCTTTTATATGTCAACAAATTTCCACATAACTATTAATACAATGGGTGCGAGAATTCGTCATTTCCTTGGTTGCTTGTTTAGGATTCATCGTCGTATCAACATTGTATATGGTCGAGGATTCTGATAATTTGTTGATTCCAATAACAATGCAAACAAATATTTTATATATTTCTAATGAATATTCTTTTTCCTATGATTCCTTTGTTTTACGTTCTTCGAATGAAAAAATTTCCATCTGAAATTGAAGAGAATGAGACCTGAAATCTCCCCACCATCTCTCCAGCTTCTCACTTTCATCGTCTTCTTCACAGTTTTTCCAGCAACTCATTCCCGCCATCAACCACCTTCCTACAGTGATTGCCAGTCTTCCTTTGAATGTGGAAACTTGAAAGAAATCAGTTACCCATTCTGGGGAAACGAACAATCTCATTGCGGCCGACAAGGTTTCGAGCTTCAATGCCAGACAAAGCAATACCCAGTTATAAACATGGAGGGCCAAAGTTTCATTGTCCTGGAAATAGAACAAAACAATCAGTGGATGAAACTTGCACGATCAGACATCTGGAATGGCATCTGCCCACTCCTTAACACCGAACTCAATCATTCTCCTTTTAGTTTTCACGGAACTGGAACTCGAAACATCAGCATGTTCGGTGGTTGTCCGATGGAAAGCAGTATTGCAGAAGATGCACGTAACGTTTCTTGCAAGACGAAGAATGGGAGTATTGATACCAATTATCTTGCGTGGGAATCATTCACCGATCCTGAAAACCAATGTGATTTACAAATCACAGTTCCGGTTCTCATCACGGCTTATAATCAAGTGGTTGATGGAACCTTGACTCCCAAAGAAGCTTTGGATGAAGGGTTTCTTGCTGATTATCACTTTGATGAAGAAGAGTTTTGTAAATCCTGCAAAAAATCGCATGGAAAATGTGTACCTGCAGATATAAACTCGACTCAGGTTCTTTGCATTTGTTATGACAAGCCAGAAATTCCACCATGCTCGACACACGGTAAGTCTATTTTCTTTCATCTTTCACATGCACGTATATGATTCAACGAAGTTCTGATTGTACTACTGGTTCGTACAGATCGCGGCTACAAACAATTTCAGGGGTCTAGATTTCTGGGTAAGTTTTCGTTTCCCATTTATTTCTAAATTCTGACTTCTTTCTTGACATTATTTCTCATCAAACACTTGCATTTGTATCACTTCTTTTGACATAGGATATGGCTTTGCGAGTGGAGTTATATTTTCTTGTCTCGTCCTTGTTGGATACAAAACTATGATTCTGGTGTCCCGAATGATCAAAACGAAGACGATGAATGCTCTGAACGTTGAGACTTACATAAGGAAATATGGATCACTAGCTCCAAAGAGATACCAATGTTCAGATATCAAGAAAATAACCAACTCGTTCTTGGAGAAACTAGGTGAAGGCGGGTTCTGCAGTGTCTACAAAGGAAAGCTCGAAGACGGTCGCCTTGTGGCGGTCAAGGTTCTTAAAACCGACGTGAGCAAAGGAAATGGAGAGGAATTCCTAAATGAGGTCATCAGCATTAGCAGAACATCCCATGTTAATATCGTCTCCCTTATCGGATATTGTTACACCACGGACAAGCAAGCTCTGCTCTTTGAGTTTATGCCAAATGGTTCCCTAGAAAAGTTCATACACAATGAAAGCATTTCAACTGCAGGGCGCCTTGCGTGGGACAAATTGCTTGGAATCGCAATAGGAATAGCTCGAGGTCTCGAGTATCTCCACCGAGGCTGCAGCACAAGGATTTTGCATCTCGACATAAAACCTCACAATGTACTTTTAGATGAAAATTTTTGCCCCAAGATCTCTGATTTCGGGCTTTCAAAGCTGTGTCCAAAAGGGAGCGTTATATCTATGTCGGGTGCTCGAGGGACGTTCAGATATATTGCCCCAGAACTGTTTAGTAGGGAATTCGGGAGAGTTTCGCACAAGGCAGATGTGTATAGTTTCGGAATGATGGTTCTAGAGATCGTGGGAGGAAGAAAGAATATCAATGAATCTGCAGACGATAGTAGTGAGATATATTATCCACATTGGGTATACGACCGTCTCCGGAAAGACAACAGCCTAGGATTGCATGGTGTAATTACGAGTCGAGATAACGAAATCTCGAAGAAGATGATAATAATAGGGCTGTGGTGCATACAAACCTACCCGGTACACAGGCCATCAATGAATGAAGTCTTGTTTATGCTGGAAGGCAGTTTAGATGCCCTCAAAATCCCACCAAAGCCTTTCATATATACCCCTTCAAGAACTCCTTTAGACCTTTAGACAACTCCAATATCATGATTCTATATTACAAATGAAATAAGGAATTAAACAATCGGTTTCTTTATTCATGCAACTGATTAATCAAAAAGCAAGAATCAGCTGATAATTTTGGTGCCAAAACTGACATTTTCATACGCCACTTATCCTACATAATATTGTCATCCCATTACATTCGCCAATATCTCAGTATAGGATGGATTGACAGTGTCATTTTAGTATATGCCTCTAAATTTACTGAATTCGGTTAACTGGTACTAGTTGACTGTGTCGTAGAAGAGCTAGGCCATTTTACCATTACACAATCTGGAGAATGTGGCAGTTGTCCACTCTTCAACAACACGACTTCGTCTTCCGAAATATCCATCTCCTCGGTCTTTGCTTTACTGTAATCCTCACTTTGTATACGCAATAGAGCATCCAACACTTGTGCCATGGTCGGCCTCATGTCTCTCTCGCTCTGCAGGCACTGGAATGCCACCTCTGCTACACCTGTTATTGTTTTCCTAACCTTGTTGTCCGATTCAAACCCTAGCGATGGATCTACTAGCTCATGTAATGCTCGGTTTTTAATCTTATTGATAGCCAGGTTCGACAAGTTGATCTCCTGCCGGTGCCTCGTGATGTCAACGGCTGGTTTTGATGATATTAGCTCAATCAGTACAACCCCGAAGCTAAACACATCACTCTTGTTGGTAAGCTGGTAGCACTGGTGGTATTCGGGATCGACATAACCGGGAGTCCCTTGTGGAGCAGTGGAAACATGTGTAACATCTGTTGGGAAAAGACGAGACAGTCCGAAATCGGCAACCTTAACACTGAAATTGTTATCAAGGAGAATATTGTTGGTTTTTACGTCACGGTGGATGGTATCAGAAGCATGGAGATAGCTCAATGCATATGCAGTCTCTATGGCTATATCTAAGCGAATGAACCAAGAGAGTGCACCGGATTTAGCTCGTTGTCCATGAAGGTGATCAGCAACAGTTCCGTTAGGAACATATTCATATACAAGCAAGAGTTCTCTACTTTGACGAGAGGTGCATCCATAAAGCGATACGAGATTTTGATGGCGCAATCGAGTTAGGATCGAGACTTCATTCATGAATTGCTCAACTCTCTTGTAGTTGTTTTCATACAAGCGTTTAACCGCAACAGCACGTCCATCTCGAAGTTTGCCTAGGTAAGAGAGATGGATGAGAAAAATATAACTTTGACAAACACATGATTCGAATGTAATTCTTTTTTCTTACCATGATAAACAGTTCCAAAGCCTCCATCACCGAGTTCCTTATTCGAATCGAAATTGTTGGTAGCTTTTTCAAGTTCTTTATAGGTGAAGAGTGGGACACCAGCCAAGCTATTGCTCTTCTCAGGATCCATCATGAAAGAGCTGTGATAAGATGAGTTAAAGGAGTTCTTTCCACGATGGCGACGCAACCAGAAGTAGAAAGCAATGCTCGATATTATTATGCCTCCGGCAGCCGCTCCAAAACCTGCATTCATCGAAACTTTATATCGATTTGGTGAAAAATGGAGAATGCAGCAACACGCTGCCTGAAGAGAAGAATGAAACAGAGGAGAATTGGGGGGATTATTTTACCGATTGCAAGCTTTCTTGGCAAGTTAAAACTATTCCCTGAAACAGAAAAGAAAATGTGTTTTGAGAGTTATATGGTAAAATGGAATAAGTTCCATAATCCAAAGAGGAAAGTTGAACTAATTTTCCACAAAGGGTCCATGCCATGGGTAGAAACCTGTTTTTGTGTGGGTCTATAAAAATATTTTATTATATTATATTTATTTATTTATTATTATTATTATTTTTACAGACCTCACACTTAATAATTCTGATTTAGTAAGATTCAGAAAATAAATCAACATATTTGAGTCTTATTAAAATACTAAAACCGACGTATTTGAGTCCTATTGAAACACTAAAACTGAAGCATTTGAGTCCAAGTAGAACTCTAAATCTAAGCTAAAAATAGGTTTCTTTAGATTATAAATAGACTCAAACATCGATAGAAAAAGACGGAGAGAAAAACGTAGAATCAAAATCAGAAGAAGGGGCAACGATTTGGAAAAACCGAGGGAAGAAATGGACAAAAAATAAACGTGAAGGATCCAAAGCCAGTAACTAAAAGCACGAGGAGTGGCAAAACATTTTCATTGTAAATCCAATTTCTTTACACGTAAAACATAGGAGATGTAACAACTTTTGACTTATTCTTTTTATTTTATTTTATTTATTTACTTTATATATATTTTTCATTTTCTCCTAATTTTAATATTTTTTTTATTTCTTTTTACATTGTTATATATATATATATATATTTATTATTATTATTATATTAATATTTTTTGTTATTTTTTCTCATGTTTATTTTCATTTTTACAATCCAACACTTTTGACTTTTTAGGGATACTTTCAATCGATTAAAGGTAATTAATTCGGATTGAATTTTTTAATTTCAATTTAAATTTCAATTTTCGCAAATAAAAACAACCGAAAAATTAATTAGTACCGAAAGGGCGGTTCAAGGGTGCTAATCCTTCCTTGACCGTAACCGACTCCCGAACCCGACACGTTTTTGATACAACGCAAATCAGGTAAGATGGTGTCCGACCCACCTAAATTTGTTTTAAAGTGGTCGGTGGCGACTCTAACCATTTAATTCAAGTCGAAGCCCAATTCCCGGGGCCCAACCGAAAGACGGTTCCGATAGCTTGGCGACTCCACTGGGGACAGGTAAGTGAGTTAGGCCGAAACTAATTTCCGGTTGTCTTTTTTAGCGAAAATTACAAGTTTAAATTTTAATTTATTTATTCGATTCTTATTATTTATCTTTGATTATTTTTTCAAATAAATAGTTGTACTAACGTTTTTTAATGATTTCAGATTTTTCAAAATTGTCATCTCTAGCTCTATACCCGAGCTCTGAACCCTTTTAAGTGGGGGCGAAAGCGACGCCTTTGTGGGAATTTATTCTCCATATGGGCCTAGCAAGTAACCTTCGGGATTTATATACCTTATGTCTTCGTATGAATTTATTCTCCGTATGGACATAAGGGAATGTATCCTCTCGAGTTTAACTTAACTCACACAAGCCTGTGATGGGTTTAGGACTAAGGGTCTGGCAAACCCAAGAGGGCACCAACAAGGAGAACTCGGGTACCTTTCTATAGAACCAAAACCGGGAGACCATGGAGAGTTAGAGCCCACCCCAAAACCTCATTGCAAACCCTAGGCTACTTTGTTTCATGCTTTATTTTTTGTTCAAAGCATGCGAACAAGACAAATATGCAGTTAGGATTTGTTTGAAATTAGCATGCGGGGTAGGAATTAAAGCATGTGAGGTATGACTTTTATTTTTCATGATTATTTTTGATTATTTTCACCTCTCTAACTCTTTTCATTTTTATTTTATTTTCTTTTATTTTCATCACTTGCATCATTTAAAAGAGGTGTTGATCCACCAAAAATGTGTTTGTTAAACATGAATAATCTGTATTAATGGACAAAGGGGTTGTAATACAATAGATGAAAATACAGAGGACAGTCTACAAGGCGACTATGTGTCGCATTCAATCCAGAAGACGTGGTGCCCACAATTGAAGAGTGTATCACTCTGCTGCATTATAAATGACTCAGAATGAACTGGGTCTACATCAAGCACAATGAAAGTCTATCTTTGAAGAACTGAATGGCAGAGGTTGTAGGGGCAAGATGAAGTGAGTCCCTTCAAAGACAACAATGGAAAAACGATAGCTGAAATTGGATACCCTTGCTGACGAATTCAAGAAATAGACAAATGAACTTCACATAGTTCCTATCAATTGAGGGCTTCAATGATGTATTTGTTGGGAACATGTTCAACAAAAGATAAATGCCAGAGATGCAGTCATTCGAGACTTCTTGGGCCAGTACAAAAAGCAACTCAACATTTGCACAGTTCAACCAGAGAAGCCATAGCAGTTCGATAGGTTATTCAACTGGTGACAGACGAAAGCAGAAGACTAGTCAACATGTCAGAAGTTGTTTTTGCATTTTGTATTTTGCATCTACATTTCTTTTTTAAGCATTTTCATAAACATGAAATTTCTTCATGGAGGATTCGATGAAGTGGTTTTAACCACATGGAAGCAAGATTGTAACATCAAAAGAAAAAAAATTGAAATCACAATGAATGAGCCCGATCAGCTGGTTGTACGACTAAGCCTGCTATGATGATCTGAGAAAAGAATCCACATATCCTAAGGGCTACGATGTTAAAGCTGTTTGCAGTTGCCACATAGGATGCTCCAAACATTCATCTGAGAACTAAAAGGCGCTGAAGCGCGAGATCCAAAACCTGATGGATTCAAGGGCATGGACAGCCGAAGAAGGGGGCATTGCATATATCATTTGCACTTAGAGGATTGTTTTGTTTGAACACATCTTTAATCTTTTATGTTTGCTTAATCTTTTAAACGATTAAATTTATGCCACTTTCTAAGGTGGAGCAATTGAACAAATTTTAATCTTTAGTTCTTCGAATATTAAATGAATTAAGAATTCTTTTAATTCTTCAAGAATTATAGATTTTTGACATATGACAAGATTAGACCTCTCTTATCCTATCTCAAACCCCAAAATACCTTGACTCTTTACCTAAAATAACTCATGGTCATTACCAAAAAGACCAAATTTTGACATTACCTCCCTTTGAAAATTTTTAACAATGTCTTTATCTTTTTGATACACCCATACCTTTCTTTGAGTCAATAAAGTCACAACATTGTCTTTTTAGACTCAAAATTGACATTTTTATACCATTAAAACTCAAGGCATTGAGTTGTTCATTTGAACATGAGCATTCTTCTAAGACACAACTTGGGGCATCTCGCAGGGAGCCTGAACATTGAGACATGTTGGGGGCAAGAAGCAGAAAGAACAATTCACTCGAAATAATTCTATCATGCATTAATTACACTATTTTCATGTGAACAAAATTAATCCTGAAAATATATCCCCCTGGGGATACCTCTTCTGTGAAAGCTTTCACGTATGAAATGATGAACGTCTTTATTTCTTTATCCCTTCACAACAGGAGAAAATATATATCCCTTGTGTTCCCTTTTGAGCATATAATATTTTTCTTCTGATTCAACCCTAACCAAGGATCACCCTCCACACTAGGGGGCAAGGTGGAGAAAATCTACTCGCATGAGTGAAGACATTGATTCAGATGAGATATCGAAAGGTGAACCAAATGCCAAGTGCGAAGATTCAATCAAGAACAAAAAGAGAAAAAAAGAAAAAAGCAAATGAAAATTAAAGAAAAAAAGAAGACAAGATGCATATGCAAAGATCCTCTCGATTAAACGACGCATCGAGATTCAAACTATGAGATTGATCAAGCACAATCATTTATGAATCACTGAATCACTCCACTCAAAGATCATAGAGCATCAAGAGAGAGATAGACATACGAGCGGATTCAAATTGAGCAATATATGATTGAAGACATCAGAATAAATTGATCCTTGGTTCAATCACCCTTAAACACTTGTTTAGGCCTTTTATCCCTTTCTTTCATAACCATGAACCATGACATACGTTACGTGCCTTAAAAGTCAATTCTAATCATACATGAATTTCTAAACAGAAGAGACTATCTTCATATTTCATCCCGCCCATCAGGATTAATCTTGATTTGTAAAAAATAATGTAATTAATGTATGATAGAGAAAAATAGAAAAGGGAGGTTCAAGACGTAAATTACGAATGACGTTTTGAAACCAAAGGAGGATTCGAGTTGAAAACCTGAAAAGGCGGCTCGAATACAAAAATTGGGCAGCTGAGGCGATCGCACAAATTCCTTGATAAAACATCGCACAATCCGAGCGTGACCATGAAAGCTGGGAATCGAAGAACACTTCCAATAGAGGAGCATGCAAGCTACCCCATCAAACCTTTGAGCATCAAGTAAACAAAAATGCCAAACCTTTGACCAAACACAATAACCTGAGACTTTTTTATCCTTTTCTTACTTAACAATTTTCCAAAAATAGATTTGATCTTGGCACGTGTCAAATAGCTATAATTTATTGAATGATTAACAATGTAATTAATTCTTTGATATCCAATGAACTCTGGTTTTATGATTTGTCTCAATTGTAAAACCGTGAAAGGGGTAATATTTTCAAAACTTTTGATTAAACATTTTTCGAAACTCTTTTTTGATGTTTTCCTTTAAAAGAGAAAGAAAAACATTTTTTTCAAAACAAGACAATCTCTCTAGAGTGGATCTTGGTAAATGACATGTGACTCTCAAATACCAAGCTCATGCTTAGAATCAATGCTGAAGCAAGAAATGAGGAACAATGAGGACATCTTTGAAGATTCAACATCAAATGCTGGGGCATTTTTTGAGATTTAACATCAAATTTTGGGGAATTTTTTGAGATTCAACATCGAATATTGGGGCATCTTTGAGAATTCAATATCTTTATGTGAATTATCAGATCTTCCGAAGGTCTTTCTTCCACGTGCAGGAACCAGCAGACAAAAAAGGAGATTATGTCCGATGAATAAAACAAGAACTAATTCATTATGCATGCATTTTAGAGCATCATTTTTTCCACATACATAATTTTTGCAGCTTTAGAGTCAAGTTTCAACTTCAAGACTAAAGATACTCGATTCAAAGCACATTCAGAAATTGATGGTGGTTGCTAAACTTCACAACGAAGGGGTAACTGTTTGTCGACAAATAACTTTCCAATTTCATTCAGAGTCAATTTCAACTTCACAACGAAGGATATTGGACTCAAAGCGACACAATTTGCTCGAGAGTAGATTTCAACTTCACGACGAAGGATATCTAGCTCGAAGTCAAACTTCACAATAAAGGGGTCATCCATGGTTTCAACTTCACGGCGAAGGGAATCGTGTCCACCGGCAACATATAATACTTGGATTTCAACTTCACGACGAAGGATATTCAAGTCAAGGCTCAACTTTACGACGAAGGGGCCATCCACGATTTCAACTCCACGACGAAGGATATCATACCCACACATCCACGATTTCAACTCCACAACGGAGGATATCGTGCCATTTTGAGGCTCAACTTCACGACGAAGGGGATTCCTAGTTTCAAAGCCAATTTCAACTTCACAGTGAAGGATATTGGACTCGAGACAACAGAAGTTCAACTTCACAACGAAGGGACGACTGGTTGTCAACAAACAATTTCCCAGTTCCAGAGCCAATTTCAACTTCAAGGCGGAGGATATTGGACTCGGAACAATACAACTTACTTGGATTTCAACTTCACGACGAAGGATATCTAATTCCTGGCTCAACTTCACAGCGAAGGAGCCACCCACAGTTTCAACTTCACGACGAAGGGAATCGTACACACAAGCAGCATCCATCTCCAGATTGGATTTCAACTTCACAGTGGAGGATATCCAACTCAGAGAAGGAGTGTCTGTCAACAAACTTTCCAGTTTCGAAGTCAATTTCAACTTCACAGCGAAGGATATTGGCCTCGAAACAGCATACTAGATTTCAACTTCACGATGAAGGATATCCAATTCCAAGGCTCAACTTCACAACGAAGGGGCCATCCACGGTTTCAACTTTACGACGAAGGGAATCGTGCTCACCATTGTCACTCTTGAGACAATTTCCAAGTTTTGTATCTCTTACTACAGTTTCCCTTGAAACAAAATCTTGTCTCTTGAGACAGTTTCCCTTGAAACAAATTTTGTCTCTCTTGAGAAGTTTCCCTTGAAACAAAATCTTTGAATATATTTTCCTTGAAACAAATTTCGTCTCCCTTGAGACAGTTTCTTTTAGAACTAAATTTTTCTTGAGACAGTTTCTTTTGAAACAAATTTTTTTCCCTCTTGAGACATATTCTCTTGAAACACAAAAAAACCCTCGAAATTGTTTCTCTTGAAAAAAAAAACCTTTGAAAATGTTTCTCTTGAAACATCAAACCTTCGAGTTCGACTACGCTCAGCTTTAAGACACGTCATTTACAGCATAACTCAAGGCTAGAAGGGTTATCTGCCAATAAAGACCTTCGAGTTCGACTACGCTCAGCTCCAAGGCACATCATTTACAGCATAACTCAAGGCTAGAAGGGTTATCTGTCAACAATGACCTCCTTGTTCGACTCCACTCAGCTCAAAGGCACCATCATTTGTAATATAGCTCAAGGCAAGAAGGGCTATCTGACAAAGACCTTCGAGTTTGATTCCATTCAGCTCGAGGGCATATCAACCGCGTTGAATTAGCAAGGAACTACTTTCCGGTCAATTTTTACACCCAGGTCTTTAAATCGAGAAGAATGCCAAGGTCGACCAAGATTGGCAATAAAGAGTCACTTTTCGATTTACCCACGATTTCAACTTCAAGAAGAAGGATATCGTGCCCAATAGATCGACTTAGTGTCACAACAAACACTATCAAGTCTCAAATCAAAGAGAACCGGACAAAAACTGGTTGTTTTTTTTATCTTTGCCCTATTCTTGTTAACACAAAAATGTGCAAAGAGGGGCAGCTGTAGACACCCGTTTTTGTCTGGGTCTACAAAACATTTTATTATATTATATTATATTATATTATATTATATTATATTATATTATATTATATTATATTATATTTCTTATTATTATTATTATTATTATTTTATTTTTTTATTTTTATAGGCCTCACACTCAACAACCCTGATTTAGTAAGATTCAGAAAATAAATCAATATATTTGAGTCCTATTGAAACACTAAAACTGAAGCATTTGAGTCCAAGTAGGACTCTAAATCTAAGCTAAAAATATATTTCTTTAGACTATAAATAGACTCAAACATCAAGAGAAAAAGACAGAGAGAAAAACGTGGAATCAAAATCAGAGGAAGGGACAACGATTTGGAAAAACCGAGGGAAGAAAAGGATAAAAAATAAGCGTGGATGATCCAAAGCCAGTATCTAAAAGCACGAGGAGTGGCAAGAGCATATTCATTGCAAATCTAGTTTCTTTACACGCAAAATATGGGAGATGTTTTGACTTATTCTTTTTATTTCATTTTTATTTATTTACTTTATATATTTTTTTCATTTTATCCTAATTTTAATATTTTTTATTTCTTTTTACATTGTTATATATATATATATATTTATTAATATTATTATATTAATATTTTTTGTTATTTTTTCTTATGTTTATTTTTATTTTTATAATCCAACACTTTTGACTTTTTAGAGATACTTTCAATCGATTAAAAGTAATTAATTCGGATTAAATTTTTGAATTTCAATTTAAATTTTAATTTTCGTAAATAAAGACAACCGGAAAATTAATTGGTACCGAAAGAGCGGTTCAAGGGTGTTAATCCTTTATTGACCGTAACCGACTCCCGAACCAGACACATTTCTGATACAACGTAGATCAAGTAAGATGGCGTCCGACCCACCTAAATTTATTTTAAAGTGGTCGGTGGTGATTCTAACCATTTAATTCAAGTCGAAGCCCAATTTCCAAAGCCCAACCGAAGGACGGTTCTGACACCATGTTACCAATCAAGATACAGAGTAATACATGTAACAATCCCAAGACATGATATTATTATTTTATTCCCAAACTTTAGTTGTTTTAGGGTATCACAGACTTCCCTATAATATATTGTTATAATAGATATGACAGTTTTTCTAATCGAATCGAGTTTTATTTATTCTTATTTACTGCTGCTAATCATGATAATGAGTAGAATAGATAAAAATTTAGATCAGGGTGAGCCCTTAGTTCTTTTGCTCTAATAAGCAGGGGCTAACGGCTAAACTACTTCAAGCAGAAATGAGACATAGGAGGCTCGTAATAGTGATGCCATTGTGATACTAAATGAAGAAAAATTTGAGTGATCTAAGCTCTAAATCAGAGATTTAAATTATGTTTACGATCATATATTCAGTTGTGTTGTATTTATTATGATTATGATAATAATGGGTGATATTGTGGTTATTACAGATATTAGCAATTTCATACAATACTTTTACCGTTATATAATGACCGCAGTTCTAATAACATACCTCTCTCTAAATCCGTGGTCTAAACTACCTTTTTTGTCGTTGCCTAAAATGACGTGAATAAAACAATCTATGCAAAAATGCCTCCCAATATTATTGGGACCATAGAGAAAGATAGAATAGTAATTTAACAAGTGGTTGATTTTACACAGCAAAGAAGAGAAGTAGACGTAGAAGATGTGCTTTGACGCAAGCAAGTTGGCTACAACTAGCCCAATATTAGCTGGTGATGTATGGGACCATTGACCAATTCAAAAGTTAGACCAAAACCCCTTTTTTTAATCTTTTAGGAGGTCCAATCAAAGAAGTAAAACGCTACAACAGTTGGAAAAAGCTGGAAATGACGACTGAATATCAATTGGATTGAATGGAGTTGTTCATCATGGAGAAAGAGTTAAAAAGAAGCAAGCATACCGTGATGGTCGCAACGCAATATATGTGGATGATCACGACAATAGCAGACAAATGCTGAGGATACAGTTTCGTTGGATCCACATCTTCCGCCGGAATCCTTGCATAGTTTGCAGTATTCTTCGTATGCAAAGTATCTCATGTTAAACGGTTGAAGTAAACTTTCATTCACAGAGGTGATTCCGTTGATCAGATCATGAAAAGCCTGTTTCCCAACTGGAATTTCGACTTTTTCAGTACTACCATCACATTCATTTTCATCAACAACGAACACAGGGGACGCTTCTCTTCCGTCCCTTGTGCAACTGAATGGTTGTAATCCCCTGAGTCTACAGCCGTAAAACAGAGTAATGTTTTCAGCGCTAAAAGAGTAATTAAAAGCATCGGTTATCAGTATCTCCCGAGGACAAGTGTTTAAATCCACTCGTTGGATTGTGAGCAAACCGAAAGACGCATTGAGATTCAGCACTCGAAATCGTTGGGAACTGAGGGTCAAAACAGGGGGCTCATTCTCCATGCACTCCAGCTTATACCCTTCATCCCCATAGCCGCAATAGGAAGGTCGATGAAGATGGTCGGTCCAGAAAGGATAAGAAATATTCCTAATGGTTCCACAGTCGAATGGAGCGCATGAAGTAAAGTGGATATCGTGGTTGGCGCAACACACTTGGAAAACTGTAAAGATACAGAGGGAGAAGAGGGAGAAGGAAATGGGTGAAAGGAAGAAGGCATCCATGCGTGGTGGAATTTGGTGAAACAATTGTAGAGGAAAGGTTTTGTTATGTGTTCAATAAAAATGAATGAGAAGCAAAGAAATTTGGGTTGGGTTGCAATTTGCTTAGAATTTTCCATTAAATGAAAAGAAAGAAATGAGGGCGCCGACCTTGACTTGTTGAAACATAGCCTACTTTGACAAATCATTTTCACTTGAAAACCCAACTCTTCCCGTTCTACATTTTCCTCCTTGACATTCATTAAATGATTTCAATAGCAAATATATATATATATATATATATATATATATATATACACACACTTGAGTAAAATGTATGTACGGTATCACCTTTTGAGTGAAATGCTAAACATCCACAAATTGATTTAACCTAATCTCATAAGCTCAAATTTCAAACTTTTGAAACGAAAAATCACTTTTTGGGTGAAATTTTATTTTTATCCTCAATTATTTAATTTTATTTTACAATATAATGTCTAAAATGAACATTTTAACCCTCCAAAATCACTCTTTAATAATAATCTCAAACAGTTAAATTTTAAATTATATTTTTTTAAAACACTTTTAAAAACACTTTTTTACATCACTTTTCAAAAGCCCTAAAAAAATGTATTTCCCCCTATAATTCACAATTTTGAAGTTAATAATGAAATGAAACCTAAACCATATTCACAGTTGATTCGTTAGTTAAATTATTCATCTTTGTTCTCTTATATTCCCTTAGGTCATGGGTTATAGACTCACTAAGAGCACTCTAATTCATTTTCCTAGAATCCTTCTTCTTCTCCCCTCGAAGTAGGTTTAGGATTAAATTTAAAATTTATAAAAAAAAATCCAACTTTCAATATATATTCTATCAGGAAGAAAAGTAATTAAAAATTTTATTATACAAATTATTAATATAATTAAAATAAATAAAAGATCACCAACACAAATGTATAAACAGGGGATAGTCAAATAAAAAGACTATATGTTGATGTAATAAACTAAGTTTCAAATTTCATGTAATATAATGTTTATTAAATTTGTAATTGTAAAAAAAATAGAGAAAGAAGAGGTATTACTATAGAGAAGACTTTGTGAGAGATGGTGATTGGACATCAACTCGAAAAAAAGCTGAGTCCGAAAAACCAGTTGGTTTAGCATGTGATGAGGTACTATATCCTTTAAGTAAGATTAGATGTCTAAATTCTAACTTTTGTGAATAAAATAAACTGGATTAGGAGGATTGTCCTCTTCTCTACAACATCCGATCTAAATAAATAGATTAATAGATCGAATACTTATAATTATACTAAAAAAAATAAAGCCCAAAAGAACAAGTGACTCCGGGGAAACCACAATTAATTTTCAACAGAATTTTCTCCGGTCGTTGTAACAGCACGGGATCAATTGTGCTCACATGCTTTCAATATTATATTGTTTTGGTCCAAACACTCCCATCTTTTTCATATCAAAATTAAATTACATTTGGAAAAAATACTTAATATACATCATCATGACTATTCAATGAACAAAATTCTTATGGCTCATTTATTTATTAATAAAATGGAAGTAATATATTTATTTCTTTATTGTTGAATTATTTTTCATTTTTATCTCTCACTTTTTTTTTCTTTCACTGCATAAGCTAAGCCCAACAGGCTTGGTAAAGGTCGACAAAAAATTAGTAAACTACAAAAATAATCATCAGTCTTATAGAATGTTTATATTTTGATCACTAAATTTTTAATTCTCTTTTATTACAATCACTATAATTGTTGTTAAAAATTATTGATGTAACACGTTAAAGTCATATTCTTTCTTAAAAAAACCCTAAAGTCTTCTTCTAAATTGACAAGAGTCAACCTTCTTTCATCTACGACGTCACAGTTTGACGTTCTTTGGATCGTCATTATCACTCAACACAACACCATCTACTATACTCAAGAGCTTCTTCTAATTGCCAATGATGACAATATGTTATGTGACAAAACCTCAAAGGCAGGGGAGGAATTAGAAAAAAAATGGGTGTCAAATTTAGAATATGAAGAATTTTTTTTAAATGAGAAAATTGAATTTTTAATTTTTTATTATTAAGTATTTTTTAAAATATGGGGTCAAAATCTTTTTAAAAGGGGTTTCATTTTTTCTTTTATATTATATATAATTTATATGAACAAAAAAAGTTTAAATACTTATGGGGTGTAAATTGACACCCTTCAATACATACCGACTCCACCAGTGCTCAAAAGTATCAAAAATATTTCTAGTAAATTTGTTGTGTGACAAAACTTGTTTTTATCAAGTGATTTGACCAACTATGTTTTGTTATAAAAGAACAAGAAATAGACTCAAAACTTTCACTCAACTTTGCTTCACTGACTCCTTCAAAGTAAATTAAACTATTCCTCATCCCATAAACACTTTTTTCTGTCTCTCTATAACATGTCTTGTAACGCCCTGAATTTTTAAGTCAATGCATGAGGGTTGACCTCATAGATATACAGACCGAAAAGAGTTGGCAATTAAAGCCGTTGGATCAAATACGAGCCTAATTAGATATAAATTGGGCCCTATTGACCATAAAAAGAGATTTTTTTCATGAAATGTACATGAAAAAGGATAAAAAGTACAATTAAACCATTGAGGAAAAACAACTTGATTTCTTATGATTTGTTTTAGACAAAACGTGAGTTTGAGTGGTAAAAGGTTTAACATTTTCACCATTTTATTCTCTTTCTTCTTTCTTTTTCCTAGATTTCTCTTCAAGCTCTATAGATCAAAGGTTGTGAGAAAGTGCTTGAAGAGAAAACAAAGTCCTTACTGAAGGAGAAAGTAAGTATAATTGAGAAAGAAGCTTCATTTCAGGATTCTAGCATCAAGGTAGTTTATTTCTAATCATTTGTAGTGGATTTGAGCTTTTAAGCATGCTTGAGTGTTTTTGCATCATTTATGTCTTAGATGTGTTGAGTTAATCGATCGATGAAATAGCCAAGAGGGGTGAATTGGCAATAAAAAATTTGGTGGAAGCTTTTACAGAAAATTGAAAATATTTACACAGCGATTTAGAGTAGTTCGACTTTCTCAACCAAAGTCTACGTCCACTACCTTAGCTATCCACACTAAGGAATTTCCACAAATTCACTAATTTATCTTTCTTTTGAGGACAAAGAGTAACCTTACAACTCCCTCAAGAATTATACCCCAAATTCTTGAGAACACTCTCTCCCAAAGAGAAATACACAAATTTTGCAAACTTACAGGAAAACCTCACAAGGCAATATGTTTGCACAATTCTAGAACGAAGAAAGAACACTCAAGAATGAATACAATTGATTTCTTGAAAGAAAAAATGAATATTGAATGGAATAGGCTTGAAAATTCTCAAATGATCAGTTTAAGGCTTTCTCTTTGATTCTCTCTCAATTCTTGTTTCTTCTTATTGATCAATGACTCCTCAGTTTGTTTAAATACACCTTGAATTATTTCTGAACGTTGCGGATCATTGGTGAAGTCAATAGAGCTGTTATGGTGTAATTATCATTTAAAAAATATGTTGGGAGCGTAGGTGCATCGGTACACTCTGTGTAAAATTCAAATATTTTGACCGTTATAAGACCTAGTGTATCGGTACACTCCAAGTGCATCGGTACACTAATTGCATTCGATGTTTCAATAGAGCCAGGAGTTCATCGATGCATTAGCTGTGTATCGGTACACAAAATGCATTCGAAGTTGGGTGTGCATCGATACATTCAAGAGTGTATCGGTACACCCCTTTGTAAAAATAATTTTTGGCCTTATTATGGTTCAAAATACTTTGTAAAAATTGTTTTAAAAATATTTTAAGCTTAAAACACAATTTTACACTTTAGTGAGGATTGAAATTGACCTTTGAAAAACTTGGAGTAATATTTTTGATATTCGAATAATTTAATCGAGTATACTTTAAAAATGATTATAAAATCTTAAAATTCAATAACACTTAATTTGTTATATCGAAACATCAAAATATTTTCAACAATCTCCCTCTTTTTGATATAACAAAACATTTAAGTAATTTTAAGATTTTCTTTGAAAATCATTTTTGAAATCAATTTTGAAAATTACTCCCCCTTACTTTATTCTCCCCCTTTTTGTTAAATCAAAAAGACTCTATAAAATGTTTTTAAACAAGACTTTGTAAGTAATTAGCCAATTGATATTTAGATAGTTTAAGCTACTAAGATCACAATTAAGAGAAATATTAGCCATTAGTCCAAAATCAATATTCATAAACAATGTGAAATGATAAATTGGTCATAATAAGGCTAATATGAGAATAATACAAAATATAAATTCAACCTTAAACTAATCAAATCAAATTCAATCATCCAAAACCAAATATAAACATTCAAGTTCAAATTAAAATTCAAATCATTCAAACACAAATATCCAAATCATCCAAAACACAAATCCAAAAACATCCAAAATGTTTTAACAATTGAGTTCTAAGCAACCTAAGAAAACAAAGGAAGGCAATGTCTAATCATCCATAGGTGGATCGGGAGGAGGAGGATAATGTGCTTGCATCTCGAGTGTAAGCGCATTTATTCGTTCGTTTATAGCTTCATTGTTTGCGTGTATCTCCCGTTGAATTTCCAATTGTTTAGCCCCTATAACGGTTAAATGGGACTTTATAGATGCAAACCTCAGATCAAATGACTCCAAAAATGATCGAAAGTATGGAGGCATTTGATCCTCTTGCTGGACCGGTTCATCATCGGGTACGTGATCATCGATATCGCACATAAGTGCTTCAAGCTCTGGATCATCATCCGTAGCTGGTTCCGGAAGATCTCGTGAAGAGTTAGCTCCCGGTGTTTTCTCGGGGGATCAAACCAATTGATCCTTATCCCCAGACCATCCTGACTTTTTTAAGGTTGTGAGACTGACTGTGTTCTTAAGTGGGATGCCTACGTTAAGCGAGACCCTAAGATTGGATTTGATAAACAAGTTTCTAAGAAAGACAACCGTAAACTAAAGTTTCTACATGTTTGGAGAGACAT